CTGAAATAAAACTTATTTTATTTCAGTTAGTTGCCAAGGCAGCATTTCTAATTTTTGTTTAAGTTAATGTACTAAAACGTGTTATATTAATATCATCGATATACCAGTTAAATTAATATTTTGAATTTTTATTTGAAGATTTTTGGTTTCTGAAGAGTTTTTTGGTTCTAAGGTTTTTTTTGTTTTTGTTTTTAAATATGTCTAAACTGGTTTTAGTTATAAGTTATACTTTAATTCAAGCAACAAAGGTTATGGTTTAGTTTTAGTTAACTATAACTCTTTTAAAAATAATTAAAAATAAAAGTTCAATTAGAATATAAACAAAAAAACAAAACAAAAAGACAATAAAATATAACTTTGTATGTATTTAAAATATAAAACACAGGTTCCTCTGTCCAGCGCCCATCATAATGTCGATCATTAATAATAATTCACCTCATGACAAGCAAGCTGATCTCAACATCACCACTGAGCCTACTTTCCCTCCATAATGTAATTAACACCCATTTGGGTGGCGATAATGATGGGTGGGAAAAACACAAACAGGAGCATTTTTCCCATTTGAATGAAAGGCTTATAAAAGCCCATATTACAGTGATAGGTGAAAGACAACACAGCGAGAGAAAATAAATGAAAATATAAAAGTCAAAGCTAATTCAAAACATACTACAATAGCCTATAAAAAATACACATATAATTTTGCTTACATCTGATAAGCTATCATTATTTGTGTGGGCATCCGCTGTTGACCCATACGGATCCCCTAAATAAACATCAGTATTTCTCAAGGTTTCTCTCAGTCACTGACCTGCAGGCACCTCTGAGAGGTTGTTACTGGAGGAAGTGGACATGCTCGGGACGGCTGAGGTCACAGTAGCAGACAAGGGGGTGGGGGCCGCAGGAGGAGCATCTTTGGGAAACAAACGGTCCTGCCGTTTGAACTTAAACTTCTTCAGGAAGGGAATATCACTGAACTCCTGAGGAAGTATACCATTGTCAGGAGTCAGGACATGTTAGGATTAGGAGAACTGCGTACTGAAATTCAAAGACCACAGATCTACTAACCGTAGGAGTGACCCAGTCTTTGCGATCAGGTGTCTGAGTCTTGAATACACACTTGGTCCATGCAGAGATGTCTCCAGTACAGTAGTATGCATCACTCTTAAACACAAGTTGCCCTTTGCAAGTCTCACAAGGCTTTAGGGACCCAAACGCCATGCAATCTGATAGCCGGTCCACAACCTGTCAGTCAAATACAATTTGAATTAAAGAAATGATACACAAAGTTATAAAGGTATAGTGAAAATAGTCAAAGATTGTACTTGGTATCTGACTTTTGATGCTGCTGCTATTGAAATTGCCAGTCAGACAGCGAGCATCAGGTCAAATCAGCATGGAAATACAGTTTTTCTGTATTGCACACTTACATTTGACTCCCCAGAGGGAATTTCCTGTTTGTTAGCAATAAGCAGTTCCTTCATGTCATTGATGGAGCAGAACTTCTTTAGCTTGTCTTTAATTCCCCAGATCAGCTGGCTTTGCTCCTAGAATACATCAAGAACCAGACAAAAGCATTTTTAGGCTGATATATTTTCTTATATTTACAGAAAAAACAAAGAGCAATGAGTTAAATGTAGGGAGCCAACGCTACAATACATTTTTTTTTTACAGATGCCACGGCTCTGTAGTGACAGCGGGGAAAAAGAATCCTAAATGCAAATAATAAAATGCAACTAACTATAAAATCATGTTAAGAGTAGAAAAACAAATAGGGGTTTGAACGTTTAAATGTGCAAAATAAAAATAACTTTATTTCTACAATATATTGGTGTAAATTAATTTGTTAATAGGTAAAAATGATCCACCATAATCCATACCATGTTATAGATGATCTCAGAAAACATCTCATACCTTCAGTTTCAGCTCCAGTTTTTCATTTTCTTTCTTCTGTTTCTTAGAGACTCCTCCATCAACATCATCTGTCTTTCTCTTCCTGAAACAAAAAACAAAACAAAAAAACATTTATAAAAACAAACAACGAAGACGACCAGATGCACGAGCCTAAAACACTATGAAAACATATTGAAAATTCTAGTGGTCATTTTGAAATAAGGACATTACTTAAATACGCTGCAAACAACCGACTTATTTCAATAAAAAATTCTGAGTTTCTTGATTCTCAATGGTCAACTGAGGTATTCACCAGTTAAATACTTCTGCATAAGGATGCTATTCTTAATTATGAAAACTGAAATAAAATAAATAAAATGAAAAACTTAAACCTAAAAAAAAAAAAAAATCAATTAACTAACTGAAAAAAAATGTTTAAGATGAAGTACTAAAATTGCTAAAAAAAAAGAAAAAAAGAAGCTAAATAGTAATATTAAGAAAAAGTTAAAATGTCAAAAGCACATAACAAAATGAATAAAATACTATAATGATATGCAAATAATACTTAAATTACACTGCTACATTGCTCCTTTATATTGATGTAAATAGGATATTCTCACTGTAAACTTGAAAAAACAAACCCTGATCCATGATCTGAATGGTGAACTTTTCCACCTTGTGGATTTGAGTTAATCCTACAGAGAGATTTTGGCCTCCTCTGAGCTCGTGTAGCGGCTCATCTGTCAGTGGACCTCATTAGAAGATTATCAGTCCTGTGAGTCACAGTCATGTCTGGACAGGTTCCTCTGTCCGGCGCCCATCATAATGCCGATCATTAATAATTCACCTCATGACAAACAAGCTGATATCAACATCACCACTGAGCCTACTTTCCCTCCATAATGTAATTAACACCCATTTGGGTGGCGATAATGATGACCGATAGTGGGAAAAACACAAACAGGAGCATTTTTCCCATTAGAATGAAAGGCTTATAAAAGCCACACAGTGATAGGTGAAAGGCAACACAGCGAGAGAAAATAAATGAATATAGATGTGGCATCTTTTGCTAATGGATAGAACATTTCTAAGTAGATCCAAAGAAGTCAAATGCATTGGCAGAACATAGACAAACAACAACCGACGAGTGACATCTCAAAGCAATAATACGAAGCATAAACGACAGACTTGGTATGTACATCAATAATATTTACTTTTAATTCGATGTTTTGAAATTTTATATTTTGCTAAATTTTAAGTAGGGGTTTACTGATACCCTCATGTCACGATTCAACACAGATCACGATAGGATATTATTGCGATACTGCAAGACGTATGGTAAAAGGTTAACAAAAATTGTTTTACTGTTGATTAAAATGCTAAATTTGGTGTTAGATTGTGTGTGCAAATGAATAGAATGGACTTGGTGCTAGAAACCCAAAGCACAGGACAATACAGACACCAGAATAACAATATTCATGATTCTGGAGCTGAAAATACTGAATTATTTCAGAAGAATATGCCTGGACTCCGTCACTGACTAGATATACAGAGGACAACTTTTGAAGTGGATCAAAAAAGTGAATCAAAGTTGTCCTAAGACAAGAACGGTATTGTTCAAAAATCATGTATAACTTTGATGAAAGGTTTTGATCCACTTCAAATGTTGCCTACTGCATTTAAAATAATGTAGGCCACTTTTTACTGGTAATCATGAGACATTTAGCATTAACAGGACCCACAAATATTCCCCCATTGCATTATTATACAGTACATTCAACATTATATATTGAAGTTTAATGTAGTGCTCATACTAAAACTCTGAAAACTCACACAGTAATTTTTATTTTGGGTGAACCGTACACAATATGTATTGTCACTATCCACGATACATATTGTTGCATTTTTGTATGGCGATATATTGTGAAACGATACATTGTCACACCCTTAATTTTAAGTACATTTCTTTGTTTTACTTTAACATTTAATGTTTATATAATAATTAATAATAATATATTGTTTATTTGAAATTTATACTTGTACTTTTATTCAGCAAAAGTGGCAGTTTCTGTTACAAATCAATTGTTCTTTTAAACTTCCTATTCAAATAATCCTGTAAAAATGTAACAGTTTTCATAAAAATAATAAGCAGCACAACTTTTTTCAACATTGATAACAATAAGAAATGTTTCTTAAGCACCAAATCAGCATACAATGATTTCTGAAGGATCATGTGACACTGAAGACTGGAGTAAAGATGCTGAAAATTCAGCTTTGCCATCACAGGAATAAATTACATTTTAACATATATTTGTTATTATATTAATACAAGCAGGGCTTGACATTAACTTTTTTGCTCACCAGCCACTGTGGCTAGTGATTTACCAAAGTTACTATCCACTTAGCATTTTCACCGGCCACAACTTTGACATCGATACCATAGGGAAAAACTGCTATATAGATATTTTTTATATTATCTCATAATTTGGCAGCCGGTATATTAGACTTCTGTCATTTCAAGACCTGACCCACGGACCCATTATACTGTTTTATATAGCCAATATACTTGTCTTTATGTGCACACACTTTAGGAGTGAGCATAAAATCTGCGGGAATGAGTAAAATTATACTGAATACACGCAATCTCACGCCGAAATTTAAGCCCTGTAACACACTAATATTAATCCGGCGCAAATGAAACGAGTGAGTGAAGGGTTTGAGTGTCAACTCCCTGTCGGAGAGATTAGAGAGAAAGAACGCGCAGCTGCTATTGTGTATCCTGCTGAAGAGTGTCAGATATTTCAGTATTGATATGATATGTATGGAAAAATCAACAGTTTTGACAACACTAAATTGCATTTAGTTTATTATTTCAGATGCCTTTTTAAAAGACTACAATTAAAAATGTATATAAAATTCGACCCATCATATTGGCTAGTAGGAGTGACTGCGTTACACACGCCACTGCTGAAATCCACGGTCAATTCCTCATTTAAAGGCACAGTAAAGGCAATCAGATTGACCATTTTATATCATTTTAATACAAAGCTTAATAACTGATTTTCAATCATCATTTTTCTTCCTGGCTTGGTTTTATATCTACAGGTCAAAATGAATGAGTCTATCGCCAACTTCACTTTCTCGCCGACTCTGCTCTACCTCAACACGACTTTTATGAATGTCACCTCTTATGAAAATAACACATTTGTGCAGTTCACCTACGGCCTGTCCACCATGTCCACACTTACGCAAGGTAAACTTACTCAAACTACCTCTACTACTACTACTGCTACAACTACAACAGCTGCACCCAACATCCTAGCATCAATAAACCTGCCGTACATGATAGCCGAGCTCATAATAGCCCTCCTCTCCACCGTGGGCAACCTGCTGGTTTGTGTTGCAGTGGGATTGAACCGAAAGCTCCAAACGGTTACGAATTACTTCCTGGTGTCGCTAGCAGTGGCGGATATATGCGTGGGTGTCCTGGCGATCCCTTGCGCCATTATGACAGACCTGGGAATTCCACGGCACAATCTGTATCTGTGTTTGCTAATGTTATCTGTGCTCATCATGTTAACCCAGAGTTCCATCTTCAGCTTGCTGGCGGTTGCTGTGGAGCGTTACGTGGCCATTTTCATGCCCTTCCAGTACCACCGGCTCATGACACCTCGCAACGCAGTGCTGGTCTTGTGTATGACTTGGACGCTGGCCTTCCTGATCGGTCTGGTGCCACTGATGGGCTGGTTCAAGCCGCCACCTGAGTCGGGCTACTGTTTCTTCGTGTTTGTGGTGGATATGACCTACATGGTCTACTTCAACTTTTTCGCCTGCGTCCTGTCCCCACTGGTGGTGATGTTCCTCATCTACGCGCAGATCTTCGTCACGGTCAAACGTCAGATGAGGAGGATTGCAGCAGAGCGGGGCGGCGCGACCAACACAGAGGGAACGGCGAAGATGAAGAAAGAGATGAAAATGGCGACTTCGCTCTTTCTGGTCCTCTTCCTTTTCACGGTCTGTTGGATTCCGCTACATATCATAAACTGCTTCCTGCTGCTGTGCCCTTCATGTCCCGTTCCCATACCGCTGCTACTAACGGCCATTATTCTCTCCCACGCAAACTCTGCTGTTAACCCTTTCCTCTACGCCTACAAGATGAAAACCTTCAGAAAAGCCTTCAAGGCTATCTTTCTATGCGGCAGGGGCATCAGTGATGGTGATGAGCAGCATGATGATGGGGGACGCAACAACACCCAAAGAAGCTGAACGCTAACACTTAATCTAGTCCTAAAGTAAAGACTGAAAAGAATCAAAACAATGGGAGTAAAAACTAAATTCTAAGGTGATTTGATGTGTAAATCCAGACCTATATTTTCTATGAGTCACTCTTGTCTATATGTTTCTAAGAAACATTCTTTGATTTGAGAGAGAAAACAAAACACTATTTTTTACTCACGACTTCAGACTAGGGCTGCACGATTTTGGGGTTGGGGGGAGTGGAGGAAATTAGGGATGTGACGGTGATGACATTTTCCCACCGATTAATCGACATCACACAACTCCAGCAATACTGGTATCACCGGGTTGCCGTTGGAGTTTTCCCCTCATTTCCACCTCGCCTTTTAATTTGCTTATGAATGCCCAAGCAGCCGTGTTCATTTTACTTTTACATTTTACGAATTAGCGGCAATTCGGGAACAGAAATTGCTTGAATGGTGGGTTTATTATTATTATTAATGAAAAACACAACAAAAAACACCAAAAACGACAAACTTAAAACATAGAACTTTTTAAATAAAACGAATAAGATGGCTTTATAACAAAACAAATAAGCACAGCAGTCTCATTCTTGTGGTGCACTTGAATGTATGTGTAATTTAGAAGTGTTACCTCCTTCATCAGGCAAAGTTTACAGATTGCCTCATTCAGGGTTCCCACACCTTGGTTAACTTCAAATTCAAGGACCTTTCAAGGACTTTCCAGGTCCAATACCCTCAAATTCAAGGACTTAATGTGGGGACACATTTCAAGTGAGAGCAAGGTTACATCGTGTTACCTTGTAAGATACATTGTTACAGTTTTGCGCGCATGAACGTCATGGCAACGTACAACATAAAGTACCTCACGCGGGAAACACTTAACATAACGCGTAAATGCGCGTAACTAAGGTAAATCAATCAACCTAGTATGCATAGGTCACTAAGTGTTGGCGAAATAACACATTAGTGGACCGGAGGGAATAATGTGGAATTTTTTCCAGAGAACTTCTTGCACAAAATAAATTCAAGCACTTTCAAGGACCTGTATCTATGCATGCTTATTTTGAAAAACTTTCCAGGGTCTTGAAAATTATTTTTCAAACTTTCAAGGATTTCAAAGACCCGTGGGAACCCTGTTCATTAACGTCAGTTTGTAGTGTCCTCTAACTGAACTAAATTATTTTTATTACTATAAAAAATTTAAACGACAGTGGGGGTCAGTGCCACGGTAGGCAAGAGATGTTATTGGTGTGCGACTGAACACCTGTAACACAAACTATAGCAGCAAGCTAATTTGTTTCTTATAAAAATTTTGATTGCGATTTAATTGCGACATTTAAAAAGCTCCAGGTTTGCTATGATTGTATGTATGGCTGTACAATTTGGACAAACATTTTGTGATTTTATATTACTAAAATAATAGTTATTTGAATATGATTATAAATAAAAAAAAAAAAAAAAAATTTAAACAAAACAATACAACTACTGTAATATTTCACTGTAAAATAAAAACAGTCAAGTTCATTTTACAGTACAACTTTACAAATACAATACTAAATTTTATTCCTGCATTCATTTTTTTCATTTTAAAATATTAAAGATCAAAATTTTATATTGGCGGGAAGAAAAATATCCAGCCAATATAAAAGTTTCCCGCCAAATAATTGGTCGTGCTCAGCGCTTGTCATATATCACAACTATACAGTGTTTTCAACCACATGGCCTAATTTTTATTTTAGGTTTCAGACATTTAAATACACATAAGTACTAGCAAAACAATACATTTATAGTTTGTAAAATACAATCTGGTGTCTATGGAAGCAGCAATAACAATCCATTCAAATATAATTTGCTGACGTGTTTTATTCATATCAGATACACATAGTGTAAGTAACTATAACATTTACTCTATTCTTCTCCTAGTTCACCGGCCACTTACTTTCATGTATTTCGGGAGAAACTGATGAATTAACGTGCTGTAAATCCGACTGACAGGACTCTTTGGACTGTGGCATAAACAAACGCGATTCTGGCTCAACATCAGCCACCTATTGGCCCAAACCTAATATATGCATTCAATTAAATCGCAGAAATTGTGATTTGATAATAGCACTAATCCACATTGTGGTTTTATTCCGATTAATTGTGCAGCCCTACTAAAGACCATAGACAACGATACTTTACTCCTGTATGAAAAGTATGATGCATCCACACAAAATCTATTAAAGGGTTAGTTCACCCAAAAATTCAGTGTTGCACACAATAAGTATTCTCGTCGCTTGATAAACTTATGGTTGAGCCACTGTAGTCACTTGGACTATTTTAACTAACTTTTCTGGGCCGGAAAGTTTCAATAACATAGAAGCCTATGGAGGAGTAAGACAGCTCTCAGATTTAATCAAAAATATCTTAATTTGTGTTCCGAAGATGAACGAAAGTCTTACGGGGTTGAAACAACACATGAGGGTGAGTAATTACTGACAGAATTTTCATTTTTGGGTGAACTAACCCTTTAAGCTGAAATTGCTACACAAACCTATCTAGTTTACATAAACAGGTATGCTGCATTTCTTGTAAAAATAAAAGCATTCTAAAACTGTGCTAATACAGTTTGACAGCAAAAAGAAATCAGACACTCACCCTTCATTCTTCACTGCAGGAAGTCTTTTCTTCAGCTCCTCCTTGTCTTCATCTCGTAGAGCTCCGAAACCTTTGAGCTGGGCGGCACTGTACTCTGGTTTAAACAATAGTTCCTCACGCCGGCTCACAAAGCAGCTAGTGTGGTACCAGCGATCTATCAGACCAAGCTGAGGTTTCTCTGGGTCCACTGACTTCTTTGACACACGGATGTAGTCCTGAACATCAGCAGGGAAGATTCAGATTATTTTATTTAATGCCATGTCAGCATTCAAAGCTATTTTCATGGCAAAAATTAAATTACAAAAATACAAATATCATATAAATACAAAAAAAAAAAATATATATACAAAAACAGCAAGTCATATTATACAAGATTTTTTTAATTAACATATGATAAAAAATCCAAAACCGTTTCAGGCATAATCTGATTAAATATGTCCTTAAATAAAGTAACTTCATAAAAGAGCATTCTGCTTGTACTAAGTCCAGGACAATCCAATAAAATATGACAGATAAGGGAATCTTACAAAACATGCTTAAAGTTGGGTCTTCGCCTTTAAGTAAAAAACCATGGGTCAAACTTGTGTGACCCATACGACATCTGGTGTAGACCGCTTGATCAAGTCTAGCTTTAAGAGTGATAAAAAGTCTGTTTGTAATTTCCCAGCAGGGAAGAACAGATTAACTCATGTCTTGTGTTCAAAAAGCATAATTTGTTAAACAAAAGATAATGCATTATGTACCTTTTCAATCTTTTGATCACATCCCTTGCAGGTGCTTCTGTTGGATTTGGCGTACTCCACTGCAAAGTCATTCAGTATCTTTTCCCCTTTAGCTGCTCCCTTCTGCTCACCTTTCCCTGCAAAGCAATGAGGATTAATTAATTTAAGACTTAGTGCCTAACTGCTTTGCAGCCCATATGGCAAATGAAACCAAACAAAATCAGTGCTTAGGTCAAAAGGACTATAATTTTAACAAATCACCTCCAGTAGCACCTCCATTCTCAACGGCTTTCTTCACTTTCTCCTGGTCATCCCAGCGCAGGTCAGTAAATCCAGATATGTCAGAGGGTGACTGTACTGCAGCCCGGAGCCAAAAGCAGGAAAAATGGTGCCAGTGAGGCACTTTGCCATCAAACATGGGAGACTGTGAGAGACAGACAGGTGCGGGATGATTAAGAAACATCCGCTAAAACACTAGTTCCCTGCTAAATGAAACTGAAAGCACACACACACACACATAACATTACAGCAGTCAGCAGCTTGGTCATTTTTGGTTGAGGATTTGCAGTAAAACAGATCATGTCTAAACATATATTGTGTATTGTACAGCTCTATTACTTGTCAATTGTTACAGAAGTCTATCATAACCAAATGTAAACATTGTGTTTATTAAGCCATGAATCCAACTATAAGAGATGTGAAATTCAGTCATTGCAAACAAATAGTTTCTTTTGGGATTCATTGTATTATCATCAATTCATTACAAGAACACAGCTTATTGTTTCCACATTTCCATTTGTTTCTTGTTAATGTTGTCCAATGCACCACTAAAAGCAATTGCAAACTGATGTCCATATGAAATCACTGTTGATATATTCAATTCCATAACCATTTAAACTCATCTTGGGCCTGCAAAACTTACATACATAAGTGTAAATAATGCAATTGCATTGACTAAGTTACACTATGCGTTCAAAAGCATACCTGCAAAATTTAAATGCATTTACACCAAAATACTGATGTTTAATAGCAGCATTGGGTCAAAGTAGCACATTAGTCATTACCTGCACCATAATGGCCATTCTCAGCGAGTCCTTAGCAATGTTTTCTTTGCATTTCTTGCAAGAGGCGCGTCCACTTTTCGCATATTCGGCTTTGTAGAGCTTGTCGTCCTGTGAATCAGCCATTTCTGCAGATATAACTGTGAAATATGAACGTTTTGCGGTTTAATTCTAGTCAGACAGGGACACAACTAACGTTACAATGCAATGAGAAATAGCACTCAGTCCGCGTGCAGAAGCACCAGGCAGAAACAACCGCGCAGAATACCAGCCCAAACTAATCGAGTCTACATTCCTCTAGAGTAGAGAATACGCACAGGCAGAATTAATCGAACTCGAGCGACCTTTCCGATAATGACAGTGTATTTTTAGTGACATGTTTGTTTTAAACATGACACTTGTACTTCCACAGTGGTAAGGACAGTGGTGTTGTGTTGTTAATGATAACTTTCATTCCTTCTAACTTGATAACTGCTCATTCCTCTATGAAGTGATGGGAGAAACGCTGGTGACGCATGCTGGTCAGAACTGTTAAAACAACTTTTTTACAAACCAAATTATGTTTTATTAAAAGTGTCATCTATGAAATGCAGTTGACAAAGATCATATAATACTATCGACAGTATAATATGTGTTAATGTAAGGCGTATTTTGTTTGTTTTAAGGAGAGCTTGCTATTCAGGCCAATAAGAGACTAACTACAACTCTTCCTTAATATTATGACAAATTTGTCATTAAAATGTCTACAAATTTATTAAAAACATATAGACAGTGTCTCACGAGTCGGGTAACAAAAAAACATTGAAATAGTTATGACCACGAATCCCTGGTTCGAAACAAATGATTCGCAAAGGTTCAGTTCTGAAGCTTCACGAAGCAGTTTTGAAACCGTCCATGACTACTAAAAATACAGTAATGCTATCTTCTTCAAAAAAAGGTAAGGATTGAAATCTTTCTGTTTGAATTTTACATTTCATAAAAATAACTGGTCAATAACTATTTTGGCGTGAATAGTTATCATGGTAAAGTTTTTGTAAGGGATGGGAATCATGGGATAGGCCAACTTTGGTATCTGGGAACCCAAGCCTGGATTTTTATCATAAAAAAGAGAACAGAAAAAAGGTAAATACATTTATTTATTTTTATTTATTTCATTAACACATATAAATATATGGTCTATGCAATTTGTTCCATCATGCAAATTCACGTAATTGAATGTGTAGCAGTAGAAGAAAGAATACCATGGTGTTAATATCATGGGAAATTTGTTTCGACAAATTCTACAAAAAAAGCTACAAAATCAGTTTGTGGTGAACGTGTGTAGGTGTTTAGTATGACATTTTCTATTTTAAATAAGATACTCTGATCATTAAACTTTAATTATATGAAAGCATTTCCTGGTAAATAAAGGTGGTTTTATGTAAATATCTCTTTTAGCACACATTACTAACTACAGTGTAGTTCCAAGGCAATATAAAATGGCTGTTACACATGTATTTTTACATTTTAAATGGCATTTACATATATAACATCTCAGTGGAAATCAGAAACAAACGTCTAATGTAAACAAAGAAAAAGTAAAGAATAAAGACTTCATTTTAGACTCACACTCAGGACCTTCGGGTCAAAAATGACCCGGAGGGCGGCATTAAGATACATTTTATTTGAGTAAAATCAATGAAATATATTTTTGTTCAATAATCTTTTTTCTTTTCTTTTTTGGTGTTTTGAGATAATTTTTTGATTTATAATTAATACTTATGCAATAATTAAGACCCATTTTTTCCCATTGAACATAATAGAAAATGTATATATATATATAATAAAAAATTTTTTTTTTATTAAAGCTGTATTTCATTTTAGAGTCAAGTCTAGGCCTCATGAAAGCAATTTTTGAAATGAGATCGGAGCCATCTGGTGGACACACTGAGCATTTTTATCACGCAATAGCACTTTTTTACCACTAGTGGATTTACAGCTCTCTGTAGAAACCTATGGTAGAAACACTCTAGATTTTTTCACATATTGTTTAATTTTTTTTCAGGTTGTTGATTTGAATATATAATAACAGATTCTCAATTTTTGTCATTTAAAAAAAAAAAAAATTGGTTGGTTTATATGGTAATTTGAAGTGGCAGTTTTACTTTATAATACAGTCAAACCTGAACATTGCATTATAAAGAGAACAAATGGAAAACATTTTGTCACCCAGTGTTTTAAGAGATTCACCCCTTCACTGTTGTGTGCTTTTTTTCTGCATCCTGGCTGTTTTGTAGATTGTATGCACAAAAAAACTCTGTATTTTCACATTTTTGCCAATTTCCCATTCATTTCCGATGGGGGTCATTTTTGACCCGAAGGTCCTGAGTGTGACTATTTTGTTTTAAGACCACTTAGACTTTTCAAATCCTGTCCCCAATTTTTTTGGGTGTTCATATACCAAGTACCAAAAAAGTCACCAAGTTTCGGACCATTCCGATGAAGCTACAATTGTAAAAAAAAAAAAATTAAAAACGCTTCGGGACATTTTTGTCCCGAAGTACCCCAGAGGGTTAACTTATAAAACTATATGTTAATGTTAAAAACATTTTATTTATTTATAATAACATTTATTATTCTTGTGAGGTACAAAAGAATTATAGTCATCACAAAACTTAAAAAGAAGTTACAGTTTGTGCACAATTTGTATCTGTGGTACATATGAGGTATTTTATGCTGTCATGGCAGGAATGAGGAGCAATTCTGTAAACTGCCTTTTCACGATTATCTGAACGTTTACATTGACTGTAGCAAGGTAAAAATTATACCTGCAAAGTCTCCTTAGATTTTGATCTCATTAGATTGTTTTATTATAAGAAGTTACAAGTGAAATTTATGAAAATATAATTAAAAAAATTACTAAAAATAAGTTCTACAGACAAGTCCATATGAGGATTTTATATGATATTTGAGGTATCCTTTCAAAGATGAAGGCAGGGTATCAACTGAGTGTCATTCAAGTTACAGTGAATCCAGGTTTGATGTGTCACATCATAATCCTTAGTGGCTAAAGTTGCTGTTTGGCAGAGTGAAACCTCCATTGGTACCTCTCTGTTTCTCTCTGTGAATGGCCTGTACAAGGCCAAAGACCACAGCGGCCAGGGTGGTCCTCCCACTGCGTCCATTCTTTCCTCTGTCCGAAATACCGTTGCTTGCCATCTGACGCCTTTTGGTGCTGATGAAGTACGTTCGGACACGTCCCTTTCTTTCACTGACGCCTTTGATGTATATCTCACCACGCAACTCTAGCACGAAGCCCCAGTCTGCTAGAATATTACGTGTGCCCTCGGGGACCTGAATCCTTCCACTGACTCCAGTACTGTCCATCCGACTTGCCAAATTCACTGTCATGCCCCAGATATCATACTGGGGTTTGGTGGCACCGATGACCCCAGCAACAACAGGGCCATGGGCAATTCCTAGGGGGGTATATTGAAGTTACTCATATTATATACTCATTGTAATTGTCATAAATTATAGGTAACTGTATAGACTTCATATTCAGAGTAGATGGCATATTTAAAGGGACCGAAAAATATTTTTTTACAAGATAAGCATTGAGGCAATAGTGGCCTAATGTTAAGAGAGTCAGACTGGTAACCCGAAGGTTGTGGGTTCGATTCTCAATACTGGCAGGAAATGACTGAGGTTCCCTTGAGCAAGACACTTAATCCCACAGCAGAAAATGGCTGCCCACTGCTCCGGGTGTGTGTCTCCACGGTTTGCAGTGTACTTACTCACTACTCCTAATGTGTGTGCACTAACTTTAATGGGTTAAACACAGTGGACAAAGTATGTGTTACCATTCTTGGCCTTCACATGTCACTTTCACTTTACAGTGACCAGGGTCTGTCAAGATCCAAAAAGGGCAAGCAAGCCTTCTGAAGCCATTCAATGCTAATTATTGTAATTAATTACAAAATTTAGCTGAATTATTTCTTAAATGTGGCATGAACCAAAACCAAAAGGCTATAAAAGACTGACGTACAGTCTGTTCATTATTTTATACAACCCATGTTTTTATGGAAATGTATTGTGATTGAGACCAAGGTACACAACAACAGTCCATAATATTTCTATCCCTAAAAGCCTCATTTGCATTAGATTAGATATAGCATCTACTTTGACTGAGGTCTATTCCACTAGCCATTACCAGCGCGCAGCTGGAAATTGTTTGAAGAATGTTTGTTGATCTCTCTCAGAGTCTCTTGCATAGCCAAAGCGAACAGAACCAACTCAGTGATATGATGCAAGTCATTTGCAACACAAGACTGTCAGGATGAAGCACAGAACAATTATAGTGCATTACAGTTGGAAATTCCAAATGTATATAATTAAGAAGGCTAATCAAATGAATTAGAATGGTTTACCTGTTTATCGGGTGATAAACCAGATGCTGCCATGTAGCAACTGCCAATGGTTTTGATTTTCTCAATGTTCAAAAAATATGACTCCTCTAACAACTTTTACAGAGAGAAACAAAAACAATGAGGGCTTTGTATAAGACAGATGAGAGAAAAAACATCAGCAAAAAAAGTACAAACTTTCATCAAAGTCCTACCTCATCAAAGTCCGCAATGATCTCATTGAGCAGTCTGAGACACTCAACTCCCTCGTGATTGATCTCCTTTTGCTCATAGTAGTCATTAAAGCCAGCGATGGAGGCAAACATCACCCCCACCTCATCATAGGACTGAGAGTACAGCTCCTGAGAGGACAAAGACAACATGATGCATGGACTTTTATTTGGTCTTTGTAGTTTATTAGTTGTGGGTCATTACCACCATTGCTTATCCCCCTTACTTTGCAACATTTTCTGTGAATGTGCGAGACTTCTGATAAATGAGCTGCTATAGGTAAATAATTAGAAGAATGAATAGTTGCATACAAACCAGTGTGTACGATTTGCAATATCAAGCAGCATAACGGGTTGTTTTTGTACAGGTAAAATAAAATAAAACAAAATAACAAGTAAAAAACTGCCATGGAAGTTATTGATACCTCAAACTGTGTGGGTTGTTGAGGTGTGATATTTCTTATTTAAAGGTGCAGTATGTGATTTCTGAATCGTTGTCGAACAATGCAGTGGATGTTTCTTTATCATAGCTGAAGCAACGCAAAATAACGCTTCATGAAAAATAAATATTTATTAATTTATTATTATTATCCATTTATTAGCGATCACAGGAATGCACAAAACAACTCCATTAAGGCTTTTAAAGGGGTCATATAATGGTACATGCACTTTTACAAGTTGATTGTACTGAAATGTGTGTTGGCAGTGCCTGTACACAAACATCATATAATGATAAAAATCCATCCAGTGGTTTTGTTTTAATCTCCTTATATGTTTTCCCCTGCCTCAAATCGAGCCGTTCGTTTTTGTGACGTCAATAAAACGGACGCCCCTCCCACGATTGTTGATTGACGGGAGCGTTTCAACACAGACCCGCCCTCGCACATGAGGTAGCTGTCAATCATAGTCTGCGTGGCGCGGACCGGACCGGCGCGGTCATTGTTGATGTGCCGGAGCACTGTCTATGAGCAGAATGGCGTCTAAGCGATTGTGGTGTTCTGTTCTTGGGTGCAATAACGAACACAGTCATTTTAATTTTCCTGAATCCGAACCGCTGAAGACGCAGTGGCTGAGTTTTGTTTTCGAAGGGAATATTCCACACGAGCAACGTCAATGCTTTCATGTTTGCGCGAATCATTTCACACACCAGACTGCTTTATAAACGAGGGTCAGTATAAAGCTGGATTTGCTAAGAAGCTTTGCTAAAAAGGATCGGTACCAGATATTCGTGTTCCTGCTGAACCTCCAGAAGAACGGAAGTGAGTGAAACGTTTTATTAAACTTTATATTAATATATTAATCTTTGCAAATCGCTAGCTGCACGCTTCACAATACGTGAATACGTCTAAGGTTTACACTCAGTCAGGGTACATTACGGCATGTTTTCTATGTATGGCGTTCTCAATATAATTCATAATTCCACGTTTATACTGAACAACGCGTTATGGTTATTGTGTTATTGTGTTACAAATGGTGTATGCACAGAACAGAGGGGCGGAGTGAGCGCAGCTCATGATCATTTAAAGGCATATGCACTGAAACGGCGTGCTGAAAACAGAGCTGTTTTTGACCAGGTAAAATAAGTGTTTTCTTACAATACTAATGAGAATTTTTAATTAAAGTATATTACAAACTTTTAATTTAGACCCTAAAGAATCATATTAGCTTGTACAAAAATGGCATTATATGACCCCTTTAAAGGCACACTGTGCAGGACTTCCGTTTTTGTCAAACAGCGACCCCTAGAGTCGCTGTGGAGTACTTGTATTTAATGTTACTGTCGTAAATACCACTCACGCAGAGTGTCTCTGCCATTGACTGGTCTCTGCACTCACAGCCTGATACCCCTTTGAAGCTGTTATATTAAGGTACAAATCTTGCATAGTGTGCATTTTTTGCATTAAATAAGAGATCTAGCGCTAAAATGAGTTTTTGAACTCAAGCTGAGCGCTCGTGCCCGCTGCTATCAGTGTCATGGATACATAGTGTCTCTTGTGGCGGCGCGCGCGCAGTCTTCACTCGGACGCGCTCTTGATATATCGCAGTTGCGGAGACTCTCTATTCATTCCGGTGAAATCACAAAATAAAATGCACAAAAACGTGTCCCTGCTTGATATAGACTGTAACCACTGATGAACATATTCAGTTTTGATGAGAGAGAAAAAACTTAGAACCTGTAACCTCTGACACGCTTGGCAAAAGATCTACCACTAGACCATTAAAGAACTCAACCAAAACTTGCGGATCGATGCATTTATTTACGGGTTGAGCAGAGAGGCTCATTCTCTTTTCCTTTTCCTAGTCTCTTCCGACCGCGTTTTCTTTGCTTTTTCCATCGTCGAGTATCACTTCTGAAATGCGCGCAAGTGTCTTTGTGCTTCATGTTGTGGTTGATGTGTGTGACGTCGTTGCCGTAAAGCAGGTCGTGATTCTCGCAAGATTTGTCGGGGGGGTTTTCCAGCAGCGCCCCCCCCCCCAAGCTTTACTACCAGGATGATTCGCCCTACTATGAGTTTGTTTACCACCGAAATGACTTTGAAGCTGTTATATTAAGGTACAATTCTTGCATAGTGTGCCTTTAAGTCCAAGTGCTTACACAATAAAAAAATAGTTGATAAAATATCATATGTTTACGTCAAATTTCTGAGCATTTCTATTAATTTTCCATGAAGTGATGTGATATCTCCCGTCTCACTATACTCTTCAGTCAGAGCACCAGAGGGAGCTCATGAGAAGAAAACAGGAGTTATGAATTATACGAGTTAACCGGAGTGCATGTTTTTATGACACGCGGATGCATTAGTCCGGCCTCAACAAAGTATTTCAGCTGAAAATTGTTTAAAATGTCTTAAATGCTGAAGTTAGCTGGTAGCCTGATATAATAACATGGGAAATGAGCAGCGGTGTTGACCGTCTCCTTACTCAGGTAAACTCTGCCTTTGTTCATGACCGCTCCTCAAGCCCCAGGTGGCCCGTTTTTGGACCAAAGTATTCGGCGGGCCAAAAACCCCTGACTGTTGCCTCCTACTGCTGATTGGCTACATTTTTATTGAGGTGCTTGGTCCGATCCACTTTCAACAGCATTTTTCAAAAATCGCTTACTGCACCTTTAAGCTATTACCGTTTTCACCCGGCAGATGATAAGATCACCCTTGCATCATGGGAGCAAATTCTGCACAGGCAAGCATCACTCACATTTTCTTCAAGTTTGCTCAAAATTAATATCATCACTGATAGTTGCTTATATATGACTCTGATGTACCTGGTCATTTCTGTTCCTCTCTAGGAAGTGACGAGCAACGTGTGCAGGCAGGATGTTGTGCAGTAGACACTCATTGTGTTCTCTCAGGTCTCTCATCTCCTGCACTTCCTGCTGAGCTTGCAAACGCCACAGGAAGTCAAGCCGTGTTGTGGCCTCCCACTGAATCAGAATGAGATGGCACAGAATAAGGAAAGATCCCAGATGTGTATTACAGTTTTCTGCATTTTACTATTCCCTGCCAGATAATGACTACATGCTATATAGAGAATATAATGCTTCAGAGCAATGTGTTGTCAAAACGGGAATACTGAAACCGGGGTTGCCAACTTTTGAGTTAAACTTGGAGTGAGAATTATACACAAAAACCTTGCAATACAAATTTGTGTATTGTGATTGCGAAACAGAATTTCATTAAGTTTAGTTTCAACTTGTTACAATGTTTACATGGTACAATAACTGGTAGCCTGCTGTTTTTATTAGTGCTTGATACAAATTTCACAATTTTAATTCATAAGATTGCGATATGATTCCGATCTTGATAAATATCAGGTACAGTAGCTACATGTTATTTTTTCTTAAGGAAAAATTTCTCAACCAATGCTGTAAACATACTGGGAGCCCTGTCAACTGGTATTATTATTAACAACTTAAATTAATAATAGTTATTTCAGACGTGTAAATCTGCTTGCGTGCACAAATACTACATTTCACAATGCTGCCTAAACAACTTTGATGAGCGTTGCACAGGTAGGGGTCAGGGGTCAGATTGGTCCAATCAAGAGGTTGCAGGTCTTCTTTGGTTGAATTAAAACCCATACAATGTCAATACGTGTGTTCAACATCATGCAGCGCTACGCAGATCAAATGGCAATGACATCAAAATACCTAGAGACCGTCTCGAAAGCACATCTTTCGAATTGCTCTTGCGATTCTTGATGTCATACGCCAAACGGGCTGCACAGCACGTTAGCTTTTTTAATTTGGCGTGAGATTTACTTCGGCAGCGTGAGAGAGCGTCAGACAAAGCCTGAAAGCGTGTCTCACGTCAAATGCGTGATAGTTGGCAACCCTGCTGAAACTGAAAAGAAAAAACTGAAAAATTCATACCCGTCGTCCATTGTAAAACACAGCTATGATGAACATTGCCATCAACAGAATTGAGACTCCCTTTCTTCTGAGGTAGTGGGACCTTGAAAGTATAAAATGCAAATAAACGTTAGTATGAAAGTGTTTTTTTAAAAACTATTTCTAAATAGTGTGTTAGAGATTTATGATAGACACTCACCTACTAAACTGTTTCTGCTCTGGTTGATGTACATACAGCATGTGGAAGGACACTTCGATGAAGTAAGTATAGACAGCCACCACTAACAACAGAATAGTCAACTTCAAGAGAGAGCTCAGCCTCAGGAACACAGCACAGGTCACCATAGAAACCACCCCACTCAGAATGAAGAACTGTGTATATAAATATAATAGGCATGAAATATAACAACAGGTAGGTGGAGTCTTCACAACAGGAGAGTTTATATGGAAGTCACACCTCTGGATAGGTGCAGGCAGTAAATGGCTTCTGGCTGGTCTTATTGTCCTCTGTTTCAATGGTGTTTATTTCTCTTGTCTCAGTGGAGTTGCACCATATCTGGATAAGCACAAGATAAAAAAGTATAATGAATGGACCAAAATTGACATTGTAAAGCCCAATTTTTATCCTCCAACAATTAAAACATAAGGTGGAACACTATGAAACAATTTAAATAATTTGACGTGGTAAGAATTTAGCATTTAACTAACTTTTATCCAAATCAACTTAACAAAATACAAGGTGAGCAGGGTTAAGTGTCTTGCTCAAGGGTTGTGTCTAGAAGATAACCCTCTCTAAAATATCTTGCGAGATTTACATTCGACATTCATAAACAGTTTATTTTAAATCCCACAGTAATCCTATCTCTTACCCTAACCTTGGCAATAACTCATCCAAATCTCACGAGAGTTTCACAGAACAATGTTTACCACCTTGAAACAACCTTGGTCAAGGAACCAATGATGCTTGAATCAGCCAACCATCAATTACCAGCCCTGAGCTTTACCCACTATGCCACACCATCCAAAAAAAAAAAATCCCACAGTAATCTTATCTCTAACCCTAACCTTGGCAAGAACTCATCCAAATCTCACGAGAGTTTCACAGGACAATGTTTACCACCTCGAAACAACCTTGGTCAAGGAACCAATGATGCTTGAATCAGCCAACCATCAATTACCAGTCCTGAGCTTTACCCACTATGCCACACCATCCAAAAAAAAAAAAAAAAAATCCCACAGTAATCCTATCTCTAACCCTAACCTTGGCAAGAACTCATCCAAATCTCACGAGAGTTTCACAGAACAATGTTTACCACCTTGAAACAACCTTGGTCAAGAATCCAATGATGCTTGAATCAGCCAACCATCAGTTACCAGCCCTGAGCTTTACCCACTATGCCACACCATCCAAAAAAACTACATTTTTTGTTTGGGTATTGCTCTAGAGGCAGATTGATTTACCTCCTAAATGCCATCATAATCACAGAATTCAAAATGTATTTTTTTTAATTGCACTAAAATAAATTCATGCAAGTCTCACCATGTCAAAGAGGGCCATGCCAAAATTGATGGCTATAGCTGCGACAGTGAGAATGTTCCGCATACTGTTGTTTTCATGGACCCAGCAGCAAAACTGCTGAAGGATGCCTGGAGAATGTTTAAACTCTTCAGCCAGGACCATCACAAGCAATAATAGATATCCCAGCAAGAACAGACAAAACTGTAATGCTGTCCACTGATACAACCTGCAGATAAGACAGTGGGGAATGGAGGTGAAGTTTAACATATCTAAGCTCTATGTAAATGTGACAAAAATATAATCTTTTTCAGGTGCTAAACATCAGTTGAGTAGACTCTTTACCTGGGTACAGGGATGAGGGCTTGGACAGCCATGAGGAGAAGAAACATAATGAAGGAGCATACTAAATTGGTCTTAAACATCTCATCCCTCACCTGTGAGAACTGAACCAAGGAGCAAAATATAAACAGTCAGTTTTTTGTTTTTGTTTCAAAAGACACCCTTAGGTTTAGAAAGAAAACAAATCTTTGGGCATTTACACTTTTCAGTAACGTCATGTTTTATGATCAATTGGATTGCTAAATTATTTTCATGATGGTCTTTTCATGATCTAAACTATACAAACCAGTGTTATTAGTCGAGACCAGCTCATTCAAGCTTGAGTCAAGACAGAGACCAAGTCAAGTCTGAGTCAAGTCCTCATGCACCTGAGTTCATGACAGGACTCAGGCCCTGTTTACACCAGGTATTAAGATGCGTTTTGTTTGATTGGATCAAGTGGATGATGCTAAATACAGGTGTAAACATTTTGAGCTTGTCCACTTTCGACCACTTCCAGAGGAAGTCGAAAATGCATTTGACCGGATTTCTTTTGTAGTGTAAACACTGATGTGGTCAAAAGTGCACAAACAGCTACAAAAGACCACCTACTCTCCACCTACTGACCACTTAAACATTATGGGAAGTGCGCTAGCCAGATGGGATTTAAACTTTGTCGACTGAAGACACAAATTTGGTTTGAAGATGAAAAACGTACCAAATGGTAAATGGACTGCATTTATATACCGCTTTCACAGACCCAATGGCCACCAAAGCGCTTTACATTTGCCTCACATTCACCCATTCACACACTCATTCATACACCGACGGCGGTGTCCAGCTCGTCGGGAGCAGCCGGGGTTAGGTGTCTTGCTCATGGACACCTCGACACTTGGTCAGGTGGAACCGGGGATTGAACCACCAACCTTTCGGTTCGCAGACAACCTACATGAACCACTGAGCCACTGCCGCCCCAACAACGATGTACCAAGCACTGATTTTTTAACACATCACAGGATTCAGCGTGGTCTTGCGGCTGTCAAAGCAAAAACGAAAGCTGCTCTCCATATGTTTTTATGTATGTTTTTCCGTCGTCTCAGGAGGACGTGCTCATATGTAAATTGCACAAGCTTATTTTGTCAATTAGATCGAAAGATCTGAAAAAAAAACATAGATTTACCCGCCCATAGACCCTCCCCTCGAAGAAATCAGGACAGAAGTGGTTGAAAGTGGACAAAAGAGATGTATTAAAATACCAGATGTAAATGGGTATGTGTCTCCCTCCTCGTCTACTTGTGATCCGATCGACCAAAAGGCATCTTAATATATTAGGTGTAAACATGGCCTCAGTCTCGAGTCCAAGACAATATATTTATCACATCACATCCTGCCCCTTGTACCTTCTCCTCAATGTGTGTATCCTTAAACACCAATGTGGCTGAAGTAATGTGCTCTTGACGCATGCGCTCACTGCTGCGGAGATCGATTGCGTGCTCTATCCGTTTGTTGATCTCCTTGGATGTGGATCTGCACACTGAGGATGTAGGAAGTTGTGTGTAAGAGCCACTGGAGAAGGAGGCCAAGATCTGCAAGGTTAAAGTTCACCAGAGAGGTAGACCCATTATACAAGAATTGGAAATCATCTTCAGTGTTATTCTTCTACTGATAGAAAGCCATACACGGTTAATATCAATGATGTTGCTAAATAGAACCTCTTTGTTCCAGGGACGGGTTTTTAGATGATCAGCTTTAATTTCATCTAGATCCTCTTCCTTGTGGCAGATAAGGAAAGTGTCAATTTTGTGTTTTCGTAGGAACTCATTGCGTTCATATCCACGCCCGTCCTCTGTTTGGTAGTTCCCATCCAAGCAGTTCAGAGTAGCGCGTGAAATGTGTATGCGTCTGTTGATAAAGTTGACAGTCAGAAGAGAGTGTTACACACAAAAGCAGTTCCTCTTAACACTAAAGTGAAACTGTTCCAAGATTAGTAACTAGTCTGTTTACTTAGAGCAAAGACTGGGGTAATGTAACATTGGAATGTGTTTGTATGATATCTACCCCTATATAAAGTTTTGGTCACTCACCCAGGGATCCCCCCTGCTTCAAGCATGTTGGCAATGCCTACATCCCAGGACCACACATCAAACTGCCATTTTTGTAGACCAAGAACCCCACAAAGAACAGAGCCAGAGTGGATCCCAATCCGCATATCCATGTCAAAGTTCTGCTGTTTCCTTATAGATCTAAGAATATACAGATATAAATCCTTAATGCCTGTACAAATAAGCTCAGAAGGAGAGTAAACTATTATTAGTTTAAGCCACAAATATATGTGGAGACATTGATTCAGCTTTGCAGATTTAGGCAACCAAAATGATCTTTACATTATCCAGCGCTACAGTTTTTCATTGTATGCACTTCGATCGCCTAAAGCACACTATTTCTAATTCTACAGAAACTCTCTGAACTTATTGGTTATACAGGGAATAGCACTGTGTTGTACCGTATAGTGCTGATCATAGCTAGTCCCATCTCCACACAGCAGCTGGCATGTGCCCGCTGAGGCTCTGGTACTCCAGACACACAGTAGTAACAGTCCCCTAAGATTTTTATTCTCAAGCAGTCATATTCCTAAAAAGACACACATTGGAAATATCAGCTGAACACGTCTTAAATGAGTTTTAAAATGGACTTTGGTGTCCTGTCAGTGATTTTAAATTAAGACACTCTGTTGGAAGCTCTAAAATACCAACTTCAGAAAATCAAATAAAATCTGAAAGCATACCTCGGCTAGCCGGTCGAAACGTCCAAAGAGCTCATTGAGTAAGCGCACTAACTCCTGAGCGGACATGTTCATGGATAATAGTGTGAATCCCTTTATATCAGCAAAGAGGATACTGGGAAAGAAAGATAATGATGAGGTAGTGATAAAGATTAAGTAGTGACAATGAGATATTAGTAATACTTTTAAATTATATTCAATATAAAAGGTTACTATAATAGTTTACTATAATCTACAAATCAGTTTTTAATTTCATCTTTCCATGAGGACCAAACTGCACATTACATTTACAGTGGCATTGGGGTGTTAAGGACAACACTGACATTGCATTATTTAGGTGATCCAAATGGTTGGTATTTTTAATTCAAATGATCTTATCTAGAAAATAATATTTCACCAGGCATGGAATGGTCATATTCTCTTCATCCTTGCTGTATAACTTATCGCTAAAACATGTCCTGTTAGATACCTGACATCTTTGTATTGATGGATGTATATTTTGTGAAATTGCTGTGGATCAAGGTCATCATCCATAGAAGTCATATCTGCAATCATCTCCAAGGCAACAAAGCGGGGTATGATCGACAGCACCAAACGCTCCTGAGGCGGGAACAAAAGCTGACCTCAGATGTTCTCACTGAACTAACTTTTACACATTGTACTAGATGTGTTCTTCCAATCGTCCGTCTTAAAGGAGCTGTATGTAAGGTTGTGGCCAAAACCGGTACTGCAATCACTTTCAAATTACTGTAGAGTGGTGTATCCCCTCCCCCTCCCCCCTGACTCGAGGTTGCCAGATCGGCTGCATTTTTTTATCCGACACGTGTGTAGCTGCAGCTGTGGCAACTAGAGCAGAGCTGGCAACCCGAATGGCGCAACACTACTGACTTCGTGAATGGTCGATGGGTGGAGGGTGGAGCATCAGACCAAAACACAACATGACAACATCAACATCAGTTGAGGGCTGCAACTTCACTTTTTAAATGACAATATCCTGGCCGGACTACTGTTGTCAGTGATATAAGTATTTGAAATTAACATGATTTCTCAATGTCTAGTGACATATCAGGGCCATTTTATGATTAATTCAAATAAATTTCTTACATACAGCTCCTTTAACGCTAATTTGTTAACATTACTGGACAAAGGACACTAGAATCTCAGCAAAACATACAGACTTCAATTCCACTTGCCTGTCTCTGGTTTTCCATTTCTAGTTTCATGCGGCCTTCGATGCAGCGGCGTGTCTCAAGAAAGGCTTGTCTCTGGGACCGGTCGGTCAGGTAATGTATGAACAGACCTGCCACATTCATACATGTGTACAGTAAAGCCTTGGCGAGAATCTAAAGACAAAGAGGCCAATTGAGAACCAGTCTCTTAAAAAGGAAAATTAAATTATTGTACCTGGGATGACTAGAGCTTGATTGATAAATGATTTGTTTGGTTAGACAAGGAACTTATACATCCATCAACATCTACACAGGTCATCCATACTTCTACCTTTCTTAGCAGTCCTACTTCACTGAGGTGACGTGTGGTCTCTGCAATGAGGTGCAGTATGGAGGTGAGTGTGCCAGCTCCGATTGCCCAGAGCAGTGACAGTGGCAGCAGAGTGTATGTGGCAAACAGGTTGAACAGAACATACCATGATTGGTCTCTTTCCAATCCGTATGCCAGCCCCCCCAATATCTGAGCAGTCTGTGACAGCCAGCTAGCCATACCAGCGTAATGCAACCATCTTGGGGAATGTGAGCGTTTACAGGTGAGTACCAAAACACACAGGGCAGTTGCGCAGGCCATGAAGAACCCTGTAAACCAGCCCAGCAGTATGTCCGAACTGTCCGGTGCCAGGGCCAGGTAAAGCAAAAGCAGTTGTAGTTTGGCAGCTGCATCAATAATGTTGGTGACAACTAATGAGGTTCTTCTAGTGTGTGATGAATGGCGCTGGTAGAGTTTCTCGAGATCTTTGGATTTGAAGATGTGTCTCAGTGTTGGCATATACACCCCATGGATGATGTGGCCCCAGTGCACAAAAAAGTCAGCATCACTGACATAGTCCGCAGATGCTCCAGTCTGTGTACTAGATGCACTGCCTCGTTCCCCGAAAAAGGATGGATGAACTCTGGCAACCGAGGAACGCCGTTTAGTCATACCCCGTGATGCTTTGCTGCGTATCTGTTGGTTGATTTCCTCAATATAGGCATCAGTGACATGAATCTTTTGGGCTGGCTCCATGCCGAACTGCTGCCTCAGCCCCTGTTGGCTGATGATGTGTTTCACTGCGTTCTGCCACAGCAGTTGTTTGCGCCGTACACCAGGTGACATTGAAGTGGGTATACAGGATGGTGGCTGCATATTGTGGATGTCAGTTGTATCACTAAACGTTACCATGACAATCACAGGCTTATCTTGCCACCATTACCCATGGCATAGGGACTCGCTGAATCGCCCTTTCAAAGAGAAAAAAAAGAAGGAAATTCAGCACTTCATATGTATTTTCTCTAAAGCCATAAGCACTTCACTTCTAGAATTTAAATAAAAAGTAGAAACTTCTCTTTAAATTAGACTCCTTGTTGCTAACTGCATTAGTTTATTCATTTATTCTACAGGTGTACAAGTTACAACTGTTTACTGGATTGTTGACACATCAGACTGAACTGTTTAACTGGACCTGTGATGTCACCCTATGCTCTAAAAGAGGCTGCCAGATTTAGCACTGAGCTCCATAATACTGTTAGCTGCTATAAACAATCCCTTACTGTGTGGCTCTATCTCGCCGTACACAACCCATCCCACACCTGTGATCCCAACTTAAACCAGCTCTTACTCAGAAAGCATAGATCAGTTTACAGATTTCAAATGTAAACAGAAGTGGTCAACGAAAGAGATATTTTATGCAACTATTACCACAGCATACAGTACAGTGTAAATGTTGTTTCTAAAACTAGATAATAAATTAAAAGCAAAATGCTGGTAAAAAATTCTAATACAGTTTTTTTCAGTTAATTTCTGTATAAATAAATATTTTTATTTTTACACTAATATAGAAACTGACCGGGAAATATTATAACTTACACATTAGGATTGTTTTCAAGTAAAAAACATAAATATACAAAACAGATTATTTATAGATAAATTGTAGAAATAATTTTGATGCATATTTATACATTAAAAAAGAAATATATATTTATCGAACATTTCCAAAACTTTTTTAAGTATCAATCATAAAAATTTATTTTCTTACCTGTGAGTTAATAAACTTCCCAAAGCTTCTTTGTACATTTTGCTGCTATTTGAAAAATCCACTTGTTCATCTCCATCGAAGAGTCGTTCCTTTGATTCTCTTCATCCTACATATTGTTGTTATACACAGCATTCTTCTCAAAATGCAGGTAAAGGAAGACAGGCAAAATACCTACGCAATCTAGATACCAACTTGGTGATGAAAAAGCAAAACACGTTTTTACGATTCATTGAGCTGAGAAGCGATCAACAGATTGCCACGCCGAAAGCGAGACGGAAGCTCAAGTTTCCCAAATAGGATTACTTACTCAGCACTCATGCCCTGGCTACTCAAAGCATCCATCACTGACGTCACATGATGCACAGTAGAGAAAACTTTAGCTAACAAGAGCCCTTCAGGGTCAAAGGTCAGTACCTTCAAAATTCTGGGAGATTTGTCAATAGATCTCTCATGAAATATATGTTATTAGTATAAAAGGCTAAAAATCGCACATACAATTTGGACACTACATTTATATTTAAAATAATAGAGATGAAATACAGGCAGGGCAGGGCATAGAAATATATATAGATGCCTCATTACGTACGTAAGCCGTCAGCCATATTGGAGCGGTCCGTGAACATTCAAGAGCGAGTTGACTGAGCGTCTGCAACCGTAGTTAGACGCACGTATGAATAGAATATCTATATATGAAATAGACCTCGGCAGACAGTTTTGCTAAACTAACACAACAAGACGAAGACGTCAGCTGACGTTACAAAGTTACCACAGTAAAAGTAAAAACATTACAATTATCATAGTAAAAACATGTAATATTGAGGTAATACATATAACCTTTTACAGGTGAGAATGTGTTTGGTTTGTGTTTTTATCTCATTTCTTCGAGAATTTAAATCTTGGCAGTTTCACAACCAGAAGCTGCGCAATGATGTGGCATCATTAATTCTTACTTTGAGTGACGACATGCCTAGAGCGGTCAAATGAGGCATCTACGTATACATATCTGTGGGGCAGAGGAGTAAAAGAAAGTATCTGATTGGCTGAACTGAGCTAAGCAGGTCAGTAGGATCAGTTAATGTTGGCTATAAGCTGGATAAAGTGCTTGCGACAGAATGTACTAATTGTGCACTATGCACAAGACTTCAGACAGTGACCTGATGAGGAGAAAGTCTTTGCGATCACACAAGGCAAAATCTGGAAATACCAAACAATGCAAACTAAAAGCTAGTGACTCAACAACCCTTTGTACCCCACAACTGTTGTTGTACCAGGAGACAATAATGGTATCAATTGCTGATGTACTATTGTACCATTTATATTTTTTGTGAACCAGGGCAATTAATATATAAATGATTGTCCATAATCACAGTTCTGAAATAAGTGCACATTCTCATTACACATTATACATTTCCTGAAGAAAGCGAGAGTGGTACTTGCCTTTCTGCCAAGATATTAGCGGTCATTGGGTAGTTACTACAAGGGTGTTGCTAGGTTGTGGCTAGAGTGTTTTGGGTGGTTCATCCACCAGGTAAAAATGGTCTGATCCCAAAGAAAAATAAGTTTAATATTAGGGATTTCATCAAACACCTGAATCTAAGCAAGTAATGCATGCCTTAGCAAGCACTACTAATGACGTTTCACATGAGGAAAATGAGGAAACACCAGAGTAATATGGGTAGACATATTGAAGAAATTGAACATATGGTTGCCATGGATGTACTGTAATGACCGACCCACAGTCTTTATCTACAAAAAATACTGCATCACAATAATGGAAATGAAAAGTTAAAAAAAGATGAGTGCTTTTCATGCAGCTTCATTATTGGGAGAGGATGAGATTTTACTGTGGACTGTGGTCTATGGGCTCTAGAGGGACTTAATCAGTATTAGCAATGGTAGCTTGGCTCTAATGGGATTCCCAGAGCTCACTAATCAGTTAATACACACATGATTCAATCCAGTCCTCCTTAAACAGCAGCCGATCTATCCTGAGCCGTACATGCTGCCAGGCACCTAGCTAAGGCTTCAAAACTGCTATTTCTGTTCCTGGCCAAACCCTATCTGTGCTAAACTTAGCAGTTACTTTTCTAGTGCACAAAGAGGTCAAACCACAGTTTTTGGCAAACTGGTGTAACAGAGGCCAGCTAGTAAGAGTTGTACAGGTAAAACCTCACTCCTTTGGCCTCAAAGAGCGTTAGCGACTGATGCTATGGGCTGTGTTTTTAGCATCCTTGCTAGCCTCTCATGCTGAAACGGCGGTTCGAATCGCGCTCGGAGTGGTGTGAACCGGAGAGGTTACACTTGCTAAATTAATTATGCAAAATGTTGGCTAGAAGTGCACCTTACCGATGATGATGGATTTTAGTCACTTGAAAAACGCTCCATTTATCAAAGTGGGATCCATTTATGACTTTTTAAAAGAAGGATCATAAGTGATGAGTTATCAAACAGCAGTGGATTCATTTTTGCCTGCCATGAAGTGTAAACAGAAGACTGTTTTACTAAAACATGGCAAGCATTAGTTAATGGTGGAATGGCCCAGAACATCTTATTCAACTGAGTGCATGATTCGTGGACACAGTTGACAGGTATACACTATAGACAGAAATATACAGTAGAAAGGAGATAACATACTAAAGTAGCAGAGAGGTTAAACTGGGTGAGGGTGATTTAAGGTGAAGGAGAGTAGCTATTAGCTTTTCTAAAAACAACCGTAAAGAAAGTGGCTTCAGTGTAAACACACATTCATTTAGACTCATTATGTGTCTCAGCAGCATAATGTCATGATGTTAATGTTGCATTTGAATATTGAATTTAATTGGTTATCTCTATTAGCAGCTCATTTAACTAAAGCGTTGAGAGTTTGAAACATCTATATTAATGATATTTATTTAAATTAGAATCAAATCTAAATTTTTCTAATCTTGATTAAGAAAAATAGACTGAGAATTTACCTGCGAAATTACGATGGTCGAGCCTTGCCCAGGCATGACATGCAGCCATCATGTGGTTGAATCAGCTTTGCTTCACAATGCATCACTGCTGTGCTCACATGACTGCCTGGCATCACTTAAACACACTGGGACATTTGACTGCACATCACATGTTTGACATTATTGATACTGCTTGCAATCGTAATGCAATGGACTGGTCTACGGGACCTAAGTTAAGCCTTTAAATAAAAGGGTTATTGAGCTGTTGACAGTGTCATATACAATAAAAGAGCCTGCACAGTGACAGGAAAAAAAATTAACACAAAAAAACCTGCCTACCTAACACAACACCGAAGGTGGACTTGAGTTTAGCGGGAGAGTGGACGAATTCTTTCTTCGCACACTGCGACAGTCACAATATGACATCACACTCTGCGCATATGTCAACATATAAATAACACTTTTTTTTAATAGCCCACTTCAAATAGTTTATTAAAAATAAATAGCTAAAAGCAAAAGATGAAGAAATGTACATGAACAAAAAATTTGTGTTGCATTTACAATCCTGTGAAAACGACTCGGTTACTAACGTAACCTCGGTTCCCTGAGAGGAGGGAACGAGTATTGCGTAAGTAGCTTACGCTATGGGAAAACTCCTTTTCTCGAGAAATATTGAAGTCTTTATGCAAAATGCATTACAGCTGCACAGCATACAGCAATGAGCGAGGCAGCTCGGTCATTGGCTGTGCTGCGGCAATTGCATGAACCTATGACGGGGCGACTCTGAACCCGCTTCCAATGAGCGTGCTTCGAGCCCGCCAAGATGGGGATGGCCAAGGACTATATATTGGGCGCCCCGTCGTCTGAGTTCTTTAGGTTCAATCGACTGAAGCGAACTGACCAAGCACAAGCACGGCAGCTTACGCAATACTCGTTCCCTCCTCTCAGGGAACCGAGGTTACGTTAGTAACCGAGTCGTTCCCTTTCGAGAGGTTCCTCCTATTGCGTAAGTAGCTTACGCTATGGGAACACCATGCAAACGCCGTGCGTGCTGACTTCGCTCTATTAAGCCGGAGGCAGATGCCTGAGCCTTTAAGCAAAGTAATTATCCAACGAGCCGGCCGAAGGCGGGTTTTTTAAGGGACAATGTGGAACGGCCCAATGGGCTTCCAGAGAGATACACAAGCACATTTTATGTACTGATATGCATGAAAAACCCTCTAAGTCAGTCAGAGACGGACCC